AATAATAATAATCAGGGAGCAGACTGCATGCACGGACTGGGTATAAATCCCCCCCCTCCCCCCCCAGTGCAGTATGTGTAACATGACTGAGTCCCACCAAGCTGTCATGCATGTTCACATGTCATTCACATGTATTCCTGTCCCCATACAGAGAGAGCAGCAGCCAGTCATTACATGTGCACTGTCCCCAATATAATAATAATAATAACACAGTGTATATTATATACTGACTCTATAAGGGTCCCTGCAGGCTCACCATACACACCCCGGACTGGCAGGCCCAGCTCCCACAGGCAGGAGGAGGAGGGGGGGGGAGGACATGTATAGACAGAGAGAGAGAGAGAGAGAGAGAGAGAGGGGCCCAGTGCGAGCAGCCCCAGCACAGCTGCTGTGTGTGTGAGAGAGAGACAGAGAGAATGGGAAGCCATGGACGGCCATTTACTCACCGCAAACTAGTCCGCCCTCCTCCCCAGCTGGAGATTACAGAGAGCCGGTCTGCTGCTCATACCACAGATGCCAAAAAAATAAATAAAAAAATGTATCTCTAATAATAATAATGATGATGATGATAATGTTCAGAAAGGAGAATAAAATGAAAGCGGTGCATACGGTGTGTGCCTCAGTCCCAGTATTAATCCTGCGTGAAGCGGCATAGAAGGAGTTTGTTTATAGGCTGTTTTGCGGGTGGAGGAGGCTATGCGGAGCCGCGCGGTCGGGCAGGCTGTGCTTTCCTGGTGTAATATTTGAAAGGTTTTTTTTTTTTTTCCCTCTCGCTTCCTTTATGTCCTCCCCCACAACTTCGTATGCATTAAAACTTCTTAGCGTCGCCTCCCGCGCCTCTTTTTCTTTTTTTTTAATCCTCCCTCTACAGCTTGCTCGCTCTCTTTTCTTTCAGGAAACCGGTCCGGTTCCAGTGCTGCCCACCCCCAGGCGGTCCTGCGGCCTGTCAGTGGCTGTCTCTTTCTGCTGACGGCAGGGTGTCTCGCTTTTTTTTTTCCTCCCCCTCCCCTCCTCTCTCTCTCTAATTTTTTTTTTTGTTTCTCTTTTCCAGTCTCACAGTGCCTTTCTCTTTGGCCGGCTATGCGTTTTTCCTGCGTCATGAGCACTAGATTCAGCTGAGAACCTCCTCCTCCTCTTCCACCATCATCAGCAGCAACCACCTCCTCTTCCTCCTCATCCCCGGACATGCACACGGCATGCTGCCGGTACCCTCACAGTGCTGCTAGCCAGGCACCAGCACTCACACCTTTTACTCTATTACATGCATTGTCTTAGAGCTACCATAAAAGAATAAAGGCTATATTAGGATTAAAGCATACCTCCCAAGTGTCCCTATTTAGGAGGGACACTCCCTATCCTGAGCCCTTATCCATTTTTTCCAACTGAATGTCCCTCTTATGCCTTTTTTTATATATTTGTAAAGTGCTTATCACAAGGAGAAAAGCAGTATAAAAATCACAAATAACTAATGTTATTTTTTTTCTAGGAAACCCATATAGTTGGTGTGCCTTAGTGTATAACAGCAATAATACTATCGTTGTTGGATATGCCATTCTTGGTCTCAATTACATTTTAGTTACATCAATTGTAATTCGTAAGGGACACTATAGGCACCCAGACCACTTCCTCTCATCGAAGTGGCCTGGGTGCACTGTCCCCTTAAAAAAAAGCTGTTTTCCTGGAACTGTAGATTCCTGTGGCTCCCACCTCCCCGCGCAGCTGAAGGGGTTAAAACCCCTTCAGTCACTTACCTGAATCCAGCGCAGATGTCCAGTGGCACTGGGTCAGGCTCCACCCACGCTCCTCTTCCGTGGACGTCAGCAGGCAGGGGTGACCTAGTGCGCATGCGCATCAATTATTCAATGATTTCCTATGGGGAAAATCTAACGCTGGAGATCCTCATGCATGGCGTGAGGACATCCAGCGTCCAATAACGGACCAAAGGTCCGTTTCAATTCCGGAAGTAACTCTAGTGGCTGTCTGGTAGGCAGCTACCAGAGGTGGAGTTAACCCTCAGAGGGAATGGTTGCAGTTTCTCAGAAAGAGAAAGCGGGTTAAGGGGCATGGGTCATTGCACCCGGACCACTTCAATGAGCTGAAGTGGTCTGAGTGCCTTCAGTGTCTCTTTAACCCTGTAATATAAAATATTGCAGTTCTAGAGTATTTATTTATATTGCAGGGTTCAGACAGCCTCTACTGGCTGTCTCAAAAAGAGCCACTAGAGGTGCTTCCTGCAGTTTCAAGGCATTTACGTATGTAAATCAACCCTTGACGTTCTCACACTTTTTATGAGGATGTCCAGCTTCTTGAATAACCCCACAAAAAGAATTCAGTGCATTCCTATGGGGAATCCCTAATGCATGCGTGTTCTGTGTGCCGCACATGTGCATTAGGTTTCTGGATTGCAGAGAAGGAGCCCAATTCCTCAGTGATGGAATCAGGTAAGTGGGTGAAAAAAATTATTTTTTACCCCTTATTGGCCACGGGGCAGAGGGACACTATAGTGTTAGCAACACAGCTTTGTATTTCCTTAAATGACCACTATAGGCACCCAGACCACTTCAGTTCAATGAAGGGATCTGGGTACCAGGTCCTCCTAGTTTTAACCCTGCAGCTGAAACCATGTTTACATTGTAGGGTTAATCCAGCCTGTAGTGGCTGTCTCCCTGACAGCCACAAGAGGCTGCTTCGGCGATTTACAAATCGCACTTATATGACGCTGGACGTCCTCACGGAGTCCAGCATCAAATAAGATCCCCATAGGAAAGCATTGAGTAATGCTTTCATATGGGCAGGTTTGAATGCGCGCGTGTGCCTCTGGCCGCACATGCACTTTTGGCTCCACTTGGGAGCGGACGTCGACGGGAAAGGAGAGGTCACCAACGCTGAGGGTGCCCCCACGCTGGATTAAGGTAAGTGGCTGAAGTGTCGAGGGAGGGGGCTCTCCAAGAGCCTATAGTGACAGGAAAATTTTGTTTTTTTTCCTGGCATAATAGGATCCCTTTACGTCACCTAAATATTTTTAGAACAGCTCTGCCGCTGGTCAAAACCCAGCAAACACCTCTAAAATTAAAGCGTCCCTCTTTGTCCATTTGAAATGTTGGGAGGTATGTCAAAAATGGTAATTGAACAATCTCTAAAAGAAAATGTTACGTAGAGTTGTTTTTTTTTTTAAATAATGCAGTTTGCAGAAATATGTGTGTCTCATGGGAGTTGTACAACAACATCTGGAAGATCCTACAGAATTGGTCAGTAACTAAGAAATAGGTGGCCTTTACAAGGGAATCCTACTTTTTAATATCTCTAGAGCAAAATATCATAGCTGGCAATGTAGCGGAGTTAGAGAAATTCCCAGCAATGCCCAGTTTAGTGAAATAGCCTATAAGTGAATGTGCGTATTTAAAGCACCATAACTACTGTAGGATATTATATTGGTTACATTGTCATCTGTAGGTGCTATCTTTCAAATTTTGTTCTAAAATTTTGAGCAGGTTGACAAAACCTGGGGCTCTCCAGTTGCCAACATTTTGGCCTTTCTGCTGTAGTTCTTTTCTTTTGATAGACTAAGGTAACTCACCTCCAGGGATCTCAGCCTATAATTGTGCAACAAAGGTGGAGGGGCTAATGTAGACGTTCACTTCTGCACTAGGTAAGCCAAAGCAGAGGAGTGGGGCTGTAGATGGGAGAGCTTCTGTTTTTGGCACAAACCAGAAGGGGGAGCTGTTGTGGATATGGTGCTTAGAAATACTCTTTAAACTCTTCATTGTGTGACATTAGTTGTGCATAATCCTCATCAGATATCTACTTAAATCAACAATCTATAACCATGTACATGATTTATAATGTATATATTCTGATTTTCTGAGAAATTAGCCAGAATGCTTTTAAAGTATCTACAGCATTTTATAAAATACTCTCTGTACACAAAGTATTTCACATTCTAATTCGTATTATTCCTACTGTGAAGAATCCTTTCCAATGTTTTAGTCAAAATTCCTTTTCTTCAGGTAACCAAGGATGACCTCTTGTCATATGTACAGTTCTGTTAATGAACAGATTACCAGAGAGCTGTTTTGACCCTGTATATATTTGTATAGGGCTATTATATCCATTTGAGCTGCATTTTGTTTCTAAAGTAAACAATTTCTGTTTTTCTAGCCCTTTTTCATAATGAAAAATCCAATGTCTCTTATTAATAATCTAACATGCCTTTGCATATTATCCAATTCCTTTTTCTTTTTTTCTTTTTTTTTAAACAGGAACTCACCATATATTTAAGATGGGGTCTTATCATGAATTTATAGAGGGGCATTTTGTTCTAAGAAATGCACTCATTCATAGGTTCATTAGCTCATGCTCAATACACCTCTTTAATAGGGAGCATCTTTAGATAGTTAGAGGATCTCTATCACTCTGTCTTAATTAATCTTCAGCCTTTATTCCACCTAAAATGAAATTTAAAAATCACTTGTAGATAAATCTCAGCTACTAAAGAGACCAGTATATATATCATTAAGGCCCAAGTCAGCCAAAATGAAAGAGCTCTAATTTGAAGGTGGTGGTTTCTTACAGTAAACCTTAGGACAGGTAATGGGAACATGAAAATTGTATCGAGGAAATCTACTAACACTATCTAATCTTCTAGGGGCACTACATTTATGATGGAGTTGATGGATTCCATATTATATTGCCCTCTGTATAACATTTTGTTCAACTTGTGTAGACCAAAGATTGGCCTCCATTCACCTGAGGCTTTCAGAGACAAAAAAGGCAGAGAATGAAACCTTGACCTCACTCTTTCTGACAAACCAGACAAATAACCCCTTCTTTTAACAAGAGAGAGTTGAAGAGGTGTAGAGCTTGAGCCTTTCCTGAATTTAAAAAGAATACAAGTAACCATAAACAATAGAGTAGCAGAGGAGAAAATAGTGTCTTAATAGCTGAAGAATCCAGAAGTCTCTGATAGAATGAATCCATTCTCACAAATATAAGGCATGTTGCTCCAACTTCCAATGACTGGATTATTACACCATCATAAATGCTTCAGTTGACTACAGGGAAGACCTTCAACAGCTTTTTTAAACCCCTTAAGGACCAAACTTCTGGAATAAAATGGACTCATGACTAGTGATGCACCGAACGGTTCGCCGGCGAACAGTTCCCGTCGAACATAGCGTGTTCGCGTCCGCCGCGGATGGCGAACACATGCGCGGTTCGCAGACCCTCCCACCTACTGGACAGCATCCATTTTAGATTCATTCTCAAGCTGTATGCTTAGTGAGAGGAGGGAAAGTGTAGCTGCTGTTGATTAGATAGGGAAATGCATAGCTAGGTTAGGGTATACAGTGTCCACTACAGTCCTGAAGGACTCATCTGATCTCTGCTGTAAGGACAGCACCCCAAAAAGCCCTTTTTAGGGCTAGAACATCAGTCTGCTTTTTTTTTTTTTTCTGTGTAATGTAATTGCAGTTAGTTGTCTGCCACTGCTGCCAGCTTCTGTGTCAGGCTCACAGTGGATACTGTGCCCATTTGCCCAGTCAGTGCCACCACTCATATCTGGTATCACAATAGCTTGCATTTAAAAACAAAAAACTTTTTTCACTGTTATAGATTGAATAGCAGTTAGTTGTCTGTCACTGCTGCCAGCTTCTGTGTCAGGCTCACAGTGGATACTGTGCCCATTTGCCCAGTCAGTGCCACCACTCACTCACTGGTGTCACAATAGCTTGCATTTAAAAACAAAAAACTTTTTTCACTGTTATAGATTGAATAACTGATCCAGTGTCCTTAAAGGACCGCTCTAGGCACCCAGACCACTTCAGCTTAATGAAGTGGTCTGGGTGCCAGGTCCTTCTAGGCTTAACCCATTTTTTCATAATTATAGCAGTTTCAGAAACTGCTATAATTATGAATGGGTTAAGCCTTCCCCCTAATCCTCTAGTGGCTGTCTCATTGACAGCCACTAGAGGCGCTTGCGTGCTTCTCACTGTGATTTTCACCGTGAGAGCACGCAAGCGTCCATAGGAAAGCATTGTAAATGCTTTCCTATGCGACGGGCTGAATGCGCGCGCAGCTCTTGCCGCGCGTGCGCATTCAGCCAGCGGGGCGGATCGGAGGCGGAGAGGAGGAGGAGAGATCTCCGCCCAGCGCTGGAAAAAGGTAAGTTATTACCCCTTTTCCCCTTCCAGAGCCGGGCGGGAGGGGGTCCCTGAGGGTGGGGGCACCCTCAGGGCACTATAGTGCCAGGAAAACGAGTATGTTTTCCTGGCACTAT